GGTTAATGTGGTCAGCCTTAGCTCACTGGTTTATATGAATGTCTCTTGAAAAGGAAAAAAAAAAAAAGACTATGTGATCTGAAATTTACCAGCACCTTGACTACATGATCATGTGTACTTGGGTGAAGTGTTATTCTGTTCTCAGAGAAATATAGTACACCAAATTTGCTGCATGATATTTATTTTGTGTCATTCTAACAGTCTACGGTTGGGTTTATGGGATAAGGTTTTGGTTGACTAACCTCTTTTTAACCCCACAAACATTTGGCACTTTTCTAGTATCCATAGACATATTTTTGTTGTATTTTTTTTACACCTAATTTGAACCCTTCCCCTTTTCATGACATAAGTTGCATCACATTTTGCTTTTTAAATAAAATGTTTGTGAACATTTTTAAAACTAGTTTTAGCTTTTGCTGAACATTGGTTGCATGGAAAGAGCTCAGAGTGATTGATAACAATGGTTTGTTTCCATTTATCCATTAATATAACATTTTAAAAACACCCTATGGAGTAAGCGCAAAATAAGGTCTATGGTGGGCCTTAAAAATCTGGCCTCATTGTACTCATTACCCTTTTTAAACTGGCTATTACGATCTGAATTTGGGCAATCCTATCACAAGTGTACAATGCTCAATACAAGTCTAAATGATGTCCGAAATAGTCAGTTTGTCTACTTTCATTTGAAGGTGATAGAAAATACATGTGACCACATGGCAATCATACTAAAAACGCCGATGTAGTCAAATGTTTTTGAACAGCTGTAAAGGACCATCTACTCACACAAAACGGGGCATAAACTTTGTTGGTTACATGCAGATTTAACAGATCAGTTGAAAAAACTAGAGAAGCGTATAGCCTACATATACACACAGGACTTCACAGAACTAATTTTTAACTAATATGTTTGCTATCATCCTGCATTGACAGTTCATGCATATCTGAAATTGAATCAGGTAGTTTGCTAAAATAACTGACTGAGCTGCATGCTACTGACAGGTCTTGACATTGAGATTGACATTAACAGACAGAGGTAAAGGAATGTAATTCAAGATTCGTTATTGAGCTCAAATACAAAAGCTTATATAAGTATTTTGATTTTGATTAGTGTCTCCTAAATGCATAACTGTAAATCTCAAAATGGTCTTCAAGTCAAATAAAAATACCCTTTTTTTTTTTTTTAAAACAATTTCAGGTTAACATGTGAACACAGTAAATCCACACTGGCTATAATGCGGCAAAGACAACTATGGGCATATGAAGGGTATTTTTTAAAAATGTCTAAATGTCGGATAAGGGCAAGTTGTCTGTTAAATGTTTTAAATAAACACACACACACATATGGCCATAACACTAATTTGATGCTAATGTATGCTACCTTTTACATGTTTATTTATTTATATTTGTTTAATTTTTTCATATATTTTGCTGAAAAGTCTAAAATAGGCTCCACAACAAACATATTTTCAAATTATGGTATATTTTTTACTGGGCAATAACGAAGACTTTCAAAAATAAACCTACAAATATACATATTTGAAATGTAAGATGTGACAACAAGCCCTGCAGGTAAATGACCAAAGAACACAAACACAACAAAATGTAAGAACCTTCTTACCTACTGATCTGCAAGCAATATTTTTGCAGAGGTTCTTGGCGTCACTCACTGTAGAGTATGTTCAGACTAGTCCAAATTTGAAGAAATGCATGTCATACAGTGGGGCTGTGGAAGGAATCAAATCCTGGTTACCCATTTATTTATATGGGGGAAAATTAGGCTTTTTTTAAATTAATTAATTTATTTTTTTCTCTGTGATTGAGAACACAATCTGGAGCAGCATATGCAATCTACTCCACTGAGATTTTAAATCTCATTTAAATCAGTAACAAATATCACAGTGCCACCTATGTGCTACTTTTGCAGTGGTCTCGTCTCAAAGTTTTGGTGGTTAGCATGGATCAGTTAACCCCTGCTGGTAAATGCTGTAACTACACCGTTCTTGGGGGGAAAAAATGACAGCCCTTGAAAAGCCATGATTTTTGAAAGTAGGCGTGGATTCTGAGGATTTTTTTTGTAAGCAACATATTTATCACTACATAATACTTTATTATACTATAAATGGACAGATTGTTCGTTAAAGCCTAAAATGGACAAATATTTACATCTGCCATCACAGTTCTGGATAGAGAATAGGCCTATGTTACTGTGCACGTTGTTGCAGTTCACTTAATGTAAAAACAAAAATAACAGAAATATGTTGCAGGTGGACATGTCAAATTTAATTCATTTTGAAGATTAATATTACCTAAACTCTCAGGGTATTTCTAGTAAATAGCTATAGGAAGAATAGCAACCCTTTATGCTGGTATAGAATGCTTTTTACAGGTTCCATCAAGAACAATGCTTTGAAAGTGCTGTTTACAACTTTAATTGTGCTATAAAAAATAAGAATATTGGTACAAGATGCACTCTGGTATTATTAAAAAATATATTTTTTATGAAATGAATTACAATTTAAAAATGTAAAGACATATAAAAAAAAGAATATCAAGTGTACCCGTCTTGTGAAGAGTTTGTTGACAGGATGGTTGAGCTGCCAGGAGTCAAGTGTGAGGTGGCTTTGAAAAGAGCCACCTCCCCCGAAACAAAAAACACACACAAAACAAGAACTATTTGAGCAGAAAAGGAAAAGGGTATGGTTCTAAATAGAACTATTAATACGAGTGGAGAACTTGTAGAGAACCAGTGTTTTTCTACAGTCTTAATTGGCTACAATTTCTAATTAACATGTGACATCATGACATGTGAACGTGAGATGAAAATGTGGAATAAAATCATTACTTTTGTTTTCTTTGCGCAAAAAAAGTGTTCTCGTAGCTTCGTAACTTTACAGTTCAACCACTGATGTCACACGGACTACTTTGTACGAAATCATCTACGATCATCTTGGTACTTTTCTGGACCTTGAACGTGATAGTTACCTTGCTGTCTATGGGAGGGTCAGAGAGCCCTCAGATTTAAATCAAAAATATCTTAAATTGTGTTCCGAAGATGAACGAAGGTCTTATGGGTTTGGAACAACACGAGGGTGAGTAATTAATGACAGAATTTTCATTTTTGGGTGAACTAAC